CAAGGACCTAGGGCAGTGGTGGCGAACCTATGGCACATGTGCCAGAGGCGGCACTCAGAGCCCTCTCTGTGGGCACGTGTACCATCGCCCCAGCCAGGCCCAGACCATCATTAAAGTGTGGAATTCTCTGCCAAATAATTTAAAGTAAATGAAAGCATTTGGGATTGCTTTCCTTACTTTGGTTGGATCATCTTAAGTTAATGTATGAGTTGTTTTTTCTAAAGTAAAACCTCAGTATTCAGGTTAAATTGCCGTATTGGCACTTTGCCATAAATAAGTGGGTTTTGGGTTGCAGTTTGGACACTCGGTCTCTAAAAGGTTCTCCATCACTGACCAAGGGCAAGGGATCACAATCAGTTTCAAAAGCTAATTAAAACTGCTGAAGAGGGAAGTAGGCTGCAATTCCTTCCCTTTCTTCCTTCCCATACTTGACTCTGTTTTACTTGTTTACTTGCCTCCAGGAACAGCCTAACTAACAGTAGTTAGTTCTCAAGGCAAAGGTTCCCAGAAGGGCGGCAGTATACTACCTTTCCAACCAATTCTGAAACTGAAGAGACAAAATGGGGGGGGGAGCGGGAAGTGGATGGTGAATTTAAAGCAGGATTACAGCTGAACATCAAGAAGACAAAAGTAATGATGACTGGAATTACACAACTTTAAGTCTGACAATGAAGAAATTGAAATTGTTCAAGATTTTCTATTCCTTGATTCCATCATCAGCCAAAAAGGAGACTGCAACCAAGAAATCATACTAAGACTGAGAGAAGAAAGGGCAGCTATGCATGAACTAGAAAAGATCCTTAAGTGTAAGGATGCATCACTGGTGACTAAGATCAAGATGACTCATACTATAATATTCCCCCTTACTATGTATGGGTGCAAAATTTGGACAATGAAAAAAGCTGGCAGAAAGGTTGATTAACGTGAAATGTGGTGAAGGAGAGTTTTACAGATTCTGCGGACTGCCAAAAAAAATAATAATGATTCTAGATCAAATGAAGCCTGAACACTCCCTAGGAGCTAAAATGACTAAACTGAGGCTATCATATTTATGAGAAGACTCATTGGAAAAGACAATAATGCTAGGGAAAGTTGAAGGCAGCAGGAAAAGGGGAAGATCCAACATGGGATGGATTGAATCCATCACGGAAGCTATGGCAAGACCTGAGCAAGGCTGTTAATGATAGGACATTTTGGAGGTCATTAATTCATAGGTTGCCATAAGTCGGAAGTGACTCGACGGCACTTAACACACACACACACAAACACACACACACACCTGATATGCAGTAAAATTCTCCTTACAACTTAGCAAGATGGTACAAAGAATCTGCTCCGACTCTGGTTTATGCCTTGCATTTAGACTCTGGGACTTCTCAGTGGATCAGGGAAAACAGTGCGCTTCAGTACTCTTATTCTCTGTCTCTTTCATGTTATCTCTCCTTATATATAATTGAATAGTGGGTGCCAAAGTTCTAATTCTAAAATGCACTCCCTTAGTGTATGGCTGATGGCACCGCGTAGCGTCACATCCTGGCGACGCCCCGAGGCAGCGATCCTGCGACGACGCACGGATCCCCCACCGCGGTTTGGCAGCCCTAAATAGAACAGTCTTTACCACCCGTTACAATTTCACTTTCCTGTCCCCACAATGGGCCTACTATGTCCTTGCTCTTTTTCTTACTTTGAACATAAGAACCTTTTTTGTTGTTGTTTTTAGCATCTCTCACAAGCCTAAGCTCCTACTGAGCTTTAGCTTTCCTAACTCTCTCTCTACAAGCACTGATTATTTGTTTATATTCATCCACTGGAGGCAAGGGCCAATCAGGCTGCATATGCAAACAACCTCTGTGTCCTGGCTATGGGGGAGGGGGGAAGAATAGCAAACTGCTTAGAATTTTGGAAGTGAGGGCTAATTGGGCTACATATGCAAACGACCTCTGTGTTCCGACTGGCTAGGGGGGGGGGGGAAGATCACATGTGGAATGGAGGGAGACCCAATCAGCTCACATATGCAAATAACCTTGAAAGGCTGGCCCAATCAGGTAGAAGGTGAGTCCTCAGGATCACGGCTAGCCTTTTATATATATGGTAATGGATGCTAAGCACTCATCTACGGTGCCAAAGAACAATTTGCCCATTCTAATGACACACAGTCCTCCTCCTTTTTGTTAACAGCAAATCAGTGGACTTCAAGGAGAGTTTTCTGGAATTTCTGCATGTCACAGATACAACAGCATTCTGTTGGACAGGGTGACAGAAAAGTATAGATTGTTGACATGTAGTATTTGTGATCAATGCCAGGATAATAGTGCCAAAGGAGTGCAAGCCATTGTTTCAGGGGGGAAAATCTTCAGGCATTCTTTGTACCTTGTTCTCCTCACAACTGGACTATTGTGTTGGTGCATGCTGCAGGCAGTTCTAGAAAGGAATTTTTTGCTGTTGTTGTGTGTGTGTGTTACATGTTGTCAAGTCACTTCCAACTTATATATAATATTCCACTGCATTTATTTGGTTCCCCCTCCCCCCAGTGGCCCATGAAGTGGGCTCACTGCATTTGCAAAAACTGATCCTGAAAGCTCTATCTCAGACATCCTGGAATACTACATGCTGGAATAGATGCTGTCAAACTGTTTTTGCTGCAGTTACTACAACTAGTTGATGCATTAGAGGTACTTTTTCATGGTACACATCTTGATTATTATAGATACACATAGTAAAAAAAATACTTAGCCATCTTTGCACCCAATTAGGGCACTCAAGACAATGAACAGTTAAAAAAAGACAATAAAGCAATTTTTAAAACAATAGAAATGTGTAAAACCAACAATTAAGGATTTGGATTGTAATATATGTTGGAGGATTAAATTAGCAGCATCAAAGATGTTAGTCTTGGTTTAAAAAACTGAGTGATGCATTTCTCCATATGCAAAATTAGTATTTTTCTTATGTTAGCTATGACTCCTTTGATTCTGGCTGATTTCGCACTAGAGCTGCCTCGCTGTTGCGCCGCCGTTTGCCTTGGTTCTATTGGTCAATTTCACACCCGAAGCTGTGTGGATGATTTTGACCCGCGGCTTCGCTGGATTTCCTCCGCAGTTTTGTTGATCCTCAAAAAACAGGATCACGAAACTGCGGGGGAAATTGGGCGAAGCCGCAGGTAAAAATCAGCCGCGCAGCTTCAGGTGTGAAATTGACCAATAGAACTGGGGCAAATGGTGGCGCAACAGTGAGGCAGCTCTAGTGCGAAATCAGCCTCTGTGTTGAGTGATAATATTAAGTTCCTTTCTCAATGGTGGATTGTTCAGCTGCTTAAGCGTTTTGGAGGGATCTGGTTTGGCCTCCTCACTTTCAGTGATAACAGAGAAACTTTTCTGCATCCCCTTAGGCTGAGGCTTCAGAATAATATTTCGATTGCTTTCAATAAAATTATGCCTATTTTATTGAATAGCATTCCAATAAAATCACAGAAGGTGTACTTTGTTCTCTCTGGCTTTATACAAAATAAAAATAATTAAGAAATAAAAATGTTGTACCATCTCTTTATCAGAGTAAGCAAATTATAATGGGAAAGGGAGTGGCAGAAGAAGAAAAGGGAGAGCCAAAAGGGAGAGGCCAAATTTAAGGGCTGTTGTTAGAGGCAAAAGGGGTGTGTGTACCAAAGGGGAAAGGGACCCCAGTTACACTCTATCACCCAGGGCCCATACACACCTAGAACCAGCTCTGCTCCAGGCCCCACCGAGAGGTTAGTAACCATGTTTGATCTGTACTACAGATGTTGTAAATTTTGTGGCAAATATGTTTGACAAATTTAGCTTGTACAGCAGTTGTGATCAGGGTGACCCCACCCCTGGATTGCTTTTGTTTCACAGCAACACAGTTTGCAGCTGCACTTGCTAGCTTTTGTTTACTTGAGCATGTGAAGGCAGCCAAAAGAAGCAGTCCTAGCTCATGATGCAATTAGTTGCCTAGTAAAAAGTACAAAGAAGCTTCTTCTTGAACAGTCTGTCCTTCATTACATGGACTGTGCAGAAGCACTATCGGGATGTGAAAACTCTCAAAAGTGTCCTTTTTTGTTTTGGGAATGCTTCTCCCTGTGCTGCACAATTTTATTTTAATTTTAAAACTTCATTATTTAAGACATGAAAAATAAATACAAAGGGGGAAACTACACTTCACATGTGCTTTGCAAAATCACACATGTGCAAAAACTCTCTGATTCCAAACAGGTTGGCAGCCATTGCTGTTGCTAAGGAGCAGAGAAAGGAAAAATGAATAGTAGATTTTTTTTAAAGCATTGATTTACCAGCAGTTTATAATTTTGATAATTGATTTAACACTCTTTTACTGAAGCCGTATGCAACACTATCTAAGGGGATAACAACTTTATCGGGCAATGTTACAACACACATATGTGAAAGCTGCTTGTTCTATATTGTGTGGTGTTGGGAATGAGTATAAAAATCTGTCAAACAGCCATTAATAGCTCATGAGTAGGATGGCCAACCTCCAGGTGGGGCCTGGAGTTCTCTCAGAATTACACCTGATCTCCATACGACAGCGGTCAGTTCCCTCCAGAAAATGGCAGCTTCAGAGGACAAACCTTATGGTATACCAATACATTCTAAGTGAAATCTCTCCCCAAATTTTCCCCTCCACAGGCATCTGTCAAGGAAAATTGGACCTCCAGTTCAATTCTTTGTTCGTGCATTAAAGCATTGGTTCAGGCTTCATACCAAGATTTAGGCCTGAAACATGGGGGAAGAGATCAAAGGGACAAATCTGGGGTTTGCCATGAGAAAAACGAGTGCTGGGGTCAGCCGTAGGTGTGCCAGGTTTGGCCTAGCAACCATTGGGGACAAATCTGGGGTTTGCCATGAGAAAATTGACAAGTCTGATAAAACGAGTGCTGGGGTCAGCCGTAGGCTTGCCAGGTTTGGCCTAGCAACCATTAGGAGTCCAGAGAGGTGCCATTGGGCACTGGCGTCATGTCACTTTTAAGAAAAACCTGGAAGTGATGTCAGTCCATTCATGAATCACCAGTAAAACCTCAGAACTTTTGGCTATTCCTAGAGAGGACTGATGTCACTTCCAGGTTTTCCCTAAAAGTGATGTCACTCCTTTGCCCAGTGACAATTTTCACTTTCCGCCTCCCACTGGCCACTGGAACAGGATGGCCAACCTCCAGGTGGGAAAGAGGAGCTGGGAAAGCCTGATCACACCTTCCCCAAATCTCCTAGAATTTCCCTGAATGGGGTTGGCAACCCTAGTCATGAGAAGTCAAACCAGTATGTGGAAAGCCAGATGCCTGATTGCAACAAGTGATCAGGATGTAATCCCAACCAGCTGGTGTCTGAGCAGCCCTAATCAGTATACATGATGCCTCATAACTATTTTGGCTAAAGCAGAATTTTCAACCCTACTCATACAGTGGACATGTCACCATTGGCCTTCAATTTACATTTATGTTCCCTACATCCTCCAAGTCTGAGCAGCTAAGAAAAATATATCAGGGATTTCAAAACATCTTTCTTACCCTCACACGGACCACCTGAGTGACTGAAGGCTCATTTTCCCTCAAAGCTCCCAAATAGGACTCCTTCTGGAAAGTGGGGATGTTATCATTGACATCTAGGACATTAATCCGGACTCTCCCTGTTGTCTCTTCCCCACCTCCATCTCTGGCAATCACAGTCAGTGTATAACGCTGAGTTGTCTCGAAGTCCAGCCGAGCAATCAATGTGATTACACCTGTATCCTTGTCCAATGAGAATCTGGAGACCCAAACAGCAAACCAACAATATTTAAGGAAACATACAATGGTAAATTGGCATCTGGAACCCTGTAGAGAAAAATCAGCGGGGGAGCCAATTGTGAATGGGAAATTAACCCATGAGGAAAAAAGGTATGACTTCTCTCCCTTCTACCACTCCTCTGTTCAAAATAAGTTTCCTGAGGATGCATTTCATTGGGGCAAAAATGGGGCCTGCATTACCCACAAATATGTGTATGTTTAGACACTCCTTAGGAGAAACAAAAAACAATCTTTACCTTCCTTTGATTAAAATGAGTGGGAGCTTTGCTGGAAGAACCTCATGAAACTACTTGGCAAGCAGGAACGTGTCTAAATGAGGTTCACTACAAACTAATGCTTTCAAACTAGACCCTCCAGAACATTTTTCAGGTGCTAGCCTGTACTCTCTCTTTCTGTGACGACAATGCATGAGGGCAGGGTGTCATGAACCAGTATCATACAGTGATTACAGTGTCAGGCTAGGATCTGTCAGGCCATGGCTCAAACCTACAGCCTGCCATGAAAGCTCACACTGGGGACCTTTGACCAGTTCCTCTGTCTCAGCTTAACATATCTCACACAGTGGTTGTGAGGACAAAATGGAGGAGGAGAAAAATGTTGTAAGCTGCTTCATATCCCCATTGGGGAGAAAACTGGCATATAGATGTCTACACCAATATGAAGTAGGTGATGTGCAAAGACATGTACCTGAGACTGTGGAGAGCTGTTATCAGTCTGAGTCACCTATACTGATCTTGATGGACTAATGGTCAGATTCAGTATAAGGCTCAACTAAAAATAAGGCTGATTAGCCTCAAAAAGAGGCTGGCAAGCACTGAACTGTCCCAACTTTATAAACCACTTTTAGCAGTTTCCCAAGCCCTAATTACTTTAATCTTGACCTCCTCTTCAGCTAGAACACCTACATAAATCTTTTTGGCTGAGATTTACCTGAATTCTGGATATGTGATTGAATGTCTCCCTTTTTGCTCCCCAGTATCAGAAAAGTGGCATCATGCCACCAAATTACGCTACTGACACTGCTGCGATTTTCTCAGATTCAGACAAAACTCTATGGAATGGGGGCAAAATGATGATCCAAGTCTAGCAAGCCAGGCCAAAGGATGGACCCACCTGTTCTGTTCCGTAACTTTGTTATCTGAATTTACAGGTTCTGCCCCATAATTTACTCATTATCTGAATTGCAGGTTCTGCTTAATAATTAATTCAGATGTGAACCTAATGGCAGTTAATTATGGAAGAATACTGACATGTGCAAATGGTAAGCATCAGGGCCTAATGTCATCAGAACAGATTGCAGTTTACAGAACTGGGACTGTGCTCCTGCTGCCAAGCCAGCAGTATCTTCTTGTCCATATTTCTCCAAGTTGTCTCCCTTAATCTGTAGTGCCTACCTTGCTTGCTTCTACTAGGCCTATTCTGGGGCTGTCTCCATGGCCATTAATCTCCATTTCCCATTGTCTGATGGAAGTATTTGGCTTGCCAAGTTATCCATCAGTCCAACTCCGCACTAGCCTGGTGACAACTGGGTGGATTCCCACTTTTGGGCAGAACTCCGGAGGAATGTGCTGTGATGCAAAACCTGTTACTCAGCTACCACAGTTGTCCGGTGTGGGTTTAACTGGTATTAATAATAAGTGTGTGAAGAAAAAGTTACATTTTTCTTTAATATCAGAATTAAAGGTAGTCAAAATCAGACCAATAGTCATTTCTATTGTCTTAAATGGAAAATACGTTTTCTAGATGTAACACACCCTCCCATCGCATGGTGTGATGAAATTCTTGGAGACTATGCCCCTCATACAAGGGATCCTCCTTCCCAGTATTCAGGCAGACATGAGAGAATGTTCCCACTCTATAGGCAAATACAATTTTCACTTGCTAAACGCAAACAGGGAAGGCACAGGACCTTTCTCTTTACTTATATTGTTGTTTAAGTTGGTTTCTTATTGATGGAAACTGCTTTGGAGTTTCTTAGACAGAATGGCAGGATGAAGATGCTTTGAATAAAATAGATACACTAAAAATAAAGGAATGCATATTATAAATAATGGGAATCCAAACCACACCAGAATGAAGTGAGGAACCCAGCAGCATAGGTGCAATCCAGGAAGTACTTACCTGTCAGGATCATCACTAAAATAATAGCTGACTTTTCCATAAGAGCCCACATCATTGTCTGTTGCCTAGAAAATTAGAACAGAGAGAGCCATGGGAAATATTTAGGAGGAACCAAACTCAAACTTCAGACACAAGTCCTGATTTTGAAAGCACACTGAGACATGCAAGATTTATTTGTTCATTTATTTAAAATATTTATTTACATGTCTTTCTCCTAAGCATCTCAGGACCTAAGAGGAGGTTAACAACGATATAACAACAAGCATATTCCCCCTTTGCCCTAGTCCAGGCTGCCCTTTCTGGAATAATTCTGTTTTACAGCCTCACCATATTATAAGCATACAGAAGTGTCAAATGAAAATGCTGCTGACAGGAGGTGGGATCATGAACCTCACTGAAGATACAACATTCTTTATGGTAGGCTACATTTCTGTTTCTTGCTGCCTCCTACTAGTTAATACTTAGAGGCAGCTCAGAAGAAGGAGCACATTGAATTTTCTCATTCTTAATCATTCTGAGCGGAAGCATTTTGGGTTGGAATTGATTCCTCAAGGGCAAAAATTCCAATGCTTTTTTCTTTGTCTATGTGACACTTATTCTACCTGAATTTGTGTACACAACCATGCCTTGAACAACTGCCACACCCTTGCTGGTGATCGCACATATAGCGAGCAGGCACAGACAGTAGACTGTGGTGCCAAAGATGCCAGGACTTTAAAGTATGCTGGACTCAGAATGGCTTCTGCCAGGATCACACTATGTCAGACGTACTACATTACTTCCTTTGTGGGCAACAAAACCCACACTTGACTTCATGATCTGGTGATTTGCATTATGCCATTCATCTGAAGTTGTGTAGAGAAGTGCCCTTCAATTATTTTCAACTGTTTCCACAAAAATCACGCAATTAGAATCCTGAAGTAAAAATATTCTGCCACTTACAAACCGTAAGCCACTGCTATGTTCTCTGCACACATAGGTGCTACCATAAACAATGGATCAGATAAAGCCCACATACACTGACAAAGACAACCAGGTTAGACAGCCATGAAGGCCCAGATGCTTGAATTGCAACTTTATGGTCTACTCTTAAACATAAGGAACATAAAGCTTCATGTACAGATGGAGAAGCATAAAAGCTCAGACTCTTCCATAGAAGAAATCTGCAAGACAAAACAGCGACCCCAAGGTCTACAGACAAATATGAATATTAAGAGTGACATTTACACAAAGGAGCTTGTTTACATATCCAGGGTCACTCCATCTTCAAAGACACATCACTGTTATAAAAAAACCCCTCATTTCTGGGACAGTGAACCTATTTCCACTCTTCCCAAAGGGGACTTCCACAATAGAAGGAAATATAGAACAGTTTCATCCAAGTCTGATCCATGGCTACGATAAATGCACAAATCTTTTATGCTATATCTCCAAGACACAGAACTTAAAGGGTGTTGTTTCCTCCTACCTTACAGATTATGATTTTAAGATCTTTTGCTATACTGTTGTTTTCTGTAAGCTGCTTAGAGAAAGCAATCAGCTGGTCAGGCAGATCAGAAAGTTTTAGACAGGCAAGCTGAGTCTATCTTTGCCCTGAGCTCTTCCCACAGAACATGCAGATTCACTGTCAAATACAGGGCATCAGTAAATATATAGCTGGTAAGATTTGTATAGATAGCCTTGTGTCACCTTTGCATAGAGGTGTAAAAGAGGTGCTTGAGAGATGTTCTGGAGTTCTAGCTAGGAAGTCCCTGGCTCACCTCCCTGATCCTGACCTCAGGAAACCATTATTTCTCTCTGTCCCTATCCAAAATGTGGAGAAAATAATATGGGATGGCTTCCCACAGCTATTGTAGGACTGCTGGGATAAAGTATGTGAATACATTAACACACAACTGATATGTACTATTGTAACCAGACTGTATTTTCACACAAGCCAATTATTCTTGCTGTACAATGCCATTCTTTCCCTCTTGACTATCCATTTGGTTTGTACTTTTTCCAATACCTAGACCAAAACAATTAATCTAGCTGTTGCTCATCCTTATCCACAGAATCTGGATCATAGCTTCCAAAGGAATGCAAAATTAATTTGTGCTGCCACTGGGGACACCTTTGGGGGCACATCAATTACCCTTTAAAAAAATCAGTTAACACACACTCTACAAAGAGAACATACTGTATGCAATGTGGAAGCATTAGACAACTACTGATCTGAAGCTTTTTGTGGTCCTTTGTTCTCTTTTCACTGAAACCTTTTGTCCTACCTGAGGGACTGCATTATCACTTTTGTGGGCCCCCAGCATTTTTGCCTTCATGGGCCCCTCCCATCATAACAACATCAATATTAAAAATCATTTTTATATAATTTAAATGCTTCGACATTTTATTTTTTTCTGTTGTAGGCAAAATGTAATAGATTTCCATGGGCCCTAAACATTTCTTCAGGAGTTTCTCAACCTGCATCTGGCAACTGTATCCCCCCTCCCAATCACCCGCTGGTGACCAAGGGGGACCTGGCAACCCTACTAAAATGCCTCTTGAAACGATGCTTCTGAGAATCCGTTATTTCTCGAGAGCATCATTTTGAACTACAGCAGGAATGGAGAGGTGAGACAGTAGTCTTCTGCAGATGGAAATCCTTGCACCGAAGGCAATGCTATGCTGGATCCAAATCTCTCCTTTAGTTAGGAATGTTAACAAAATTTTGTGACACCTCTGGGTTTGGTAGACAGTTCCAATTTCTTTTATGGTTACTTCAGATTCAAAATGCAACTCTGGTCAACCTTTTTTTCTAGTCTGGCTAACAAAATTTGACAGAAATATTGCCACTAAAATGTATGACTGTTTTTGAGTCAAGTGCATATAAATGAATATAATATAAAAATGGCATTAAATGATAAAACAAACTTTGCCAAATTTGCCAAATAAGATAGGCAGGACAAAAAGGGTCTTCCTAACATCTCTGTCCGCAGACTCTGAAGGCCATCCTAAGCAAAGTTATACCCTTCTAAGCCTATTTACTTTAATGGACTTGGAGGGTATACCTCTGCATAGTACTGTTGTTGTTGTTGTTGTTGTTGTTATTCAGTTGCACAGTTGGGTCCGACTCTTCGCGACCTCATGGACTACATCATGCCAGGCCCTCCTGTCATACTTAGTACTATACTATACTGTAAATTTTCCAAAGCACAAATTACTATATCCAGAATTTTGTTTTGTCTATCAGGACTAGAATTTCCATCTAACCAATCAATTTGAGGCCTGTTGAAGTCACCCATTTCTATTATGGCTGCCTCCCTCTTTTTTTGGGGGGGGGAGATGTCAAATCATTACAGTTAGGGAGAAAAGAGGAACCCCAAACGGTACCATGAGCCTCATAGATTTCTGACACATTCCTTTGGTTTTCTATAATGGTGGTGAATGTAAGAAACACACCCATCATACAGTCTTCCTCTGTTTCATTTAACACATGGAAATCAATATGAGATTAGTCACTAAACTTTATGCAAGGGGTAGGGGAAATCAAGCAGCCACATTGGCCACAGCTTTTCCAGAAATGCTGAGATAGATTAATGCATTAAGAACACAAAGTAGACAAGAAGGATTCTCCCTCTGAGCAGAATCTAAGACCTTCATCATCAGGATGATGTCCTTGCAAATCTTTCAGAGCTGTGACAGATTTCACAACCTGGTCATGGCAAAAAATAACATCAGCCTTCCCAGCGAAGTGTGTAAAGCTCACAGTGTCATTCTGGGTGAGCAAAGTAAGATTTGTGGGTGTTTTAAAGTCTTGGCTCTAATGAATATATAAAATATGCATGAGTGGCAGCAAAGGCAAAGGGGACAAATTTGTATTTTAAAATGAGAAAGATGGAATAAAATTCCAAACTATCTTGTTTTTAAGCTTATTTTCTAAATTGATTTCTGCCTGGGCTCTTTGGAAGTTGAATGGACATGAGAAAAAGTAGTGTCAGAAACCCATTTCATTCCTAAACTCAAAAGGTTTTATGAGTGACGTGGAATAAGGCCCTACAGTACAACCTTCATGATTTACACATGGCCTTGCCAATCCTTGAAGAGACCAAGACAAGGAGGCCACAAAGGGTTGATTCCCTTTCTGTTCTTAGATTACTGATGGTGGGGATGGACGTGGGCAGACTGCATGAAATGCAGAAAGGAGGATAAACCGATAATAACTGAGGCAGGAGTGTAAGGAAACACAACATTACAGAATCAAGCTACATCTTTAATATCCTTCCAGCTTAGTCAGTGACATGTTTGCATCACTTCTGGCTCAGTAACACTGTTACATTTAATTATATCTTCTGTGTAACTTTTCATTTATCTGTTCAAAAATTAAATCTTAATTGAAACTGCTATTACGACTTACAACCATGCAAAATCTCTTTCAGAAGAATCAGTTTTATATGCATTCCTGGTATATACATTACACACACATTGCTGAGATAGATTTCTAAAGATGCTCCTTTTTCTCATGGTTCCATAAGCAAGTGAAAACTTTGCGGCTATTAACACCAGATATCTCAGACAACAAAATACCTGCATGTCTTGGCAAAATCTGTTGTGACAGTGGGATAGTACACAGCATCTCTCCTTTATTATAAAGGAGTTTTGGGTGCCAGAATTCTAAAATGC